TATATATATATATATATATCACGATTTAATTGTTAAATTAATTTTTTTTAATTAATAAGCCAAATCTACAAACTTTTATAAATTTTGAAATTTTTTTAATGCTTTGTTATATAAATTTAAATTAACTTCTAATATTTTATGGATATCCATCAATTTAATTTAATATAATGAAGTATCAAATAATTTTAAAATTTTGAAAGAATTTGTAGACATGGTTTATTCATTATTAACCCTTAATTGAATGGCTAGACTATTGAAATTTAATATAAAATATGAGTTATCGAGTAGAGTAATTCTACCAAAATTTACTCTTAGAATTAGTAGATTTCTCCCCTTATTGATTTTGAATGAGATTTAACAACATATTTTATGTATTACTATAATTTATACTCATATTTTTTAATAATATATCAATATATATTATATTTATTATGTAAGTAAAAGTAGTTTTTAGTGACATTTATTATGTCTTATTATGGCTAGAAAAGAAGAGAGAGAGAAAGAGAAATGTCCCAAGGTTGGCTCCTAACCTAATCTTTAGTTTTAGTTTCTCTTCAACAATTCTGTACTCTTAAAATCCTCCTTGAACTATTTAGACTTAAATCTTCAATTTGGTAAAAATCAAATGCTTATATAAGGATAATTAAGGAGAAGAAAATGTCTTCTATAACTTTATTTCTCAAGAATTTTGAATATGAAACTTATTAAAAATTCTTTTTTCCTCCCCTCCATAATCTCCTTAACCATCTCTTTTCTAACTCTACCATGTTCTACACCATAATATTCTAATTCGGCTCAAGGATCTTGTCTATACTAATCCTTAACATCACCCTTTTTTCTCACAATTTCAAGCAACATATTTGAAATTCTCATTTTATAAACAAAATTTATAAAAGTTCAAGAAATTCATATAATATTAAAATAAAAATATGTAATCACACATAAAACTCATGTAAAACAACATTGTTATAGTTTATACGAAAATATTCTCTAATCTACAGTTGAAGTTTAATTCCTTCGAGACGTAAAAAAATCATTAAGTGTATTGATTTTCCCAACTATATTTTCTCATGTCTAGAAACTGAACTCATGAATATAAACGAATTAAATAATAATAGAAGAGTTATATAATATAAAAAAATGTAGATAAATATAAAAAAAAATCAAAATTATTACTTTTTACACCTTTATTAATTTTGAATAATAGTGTTTGTAACGGAGTTAAAACTAATTAAAAGGCATAAAATATTAAGTATTAACTGATTAAATTATTTTTTCCTTTAATAAAATATTTTTAAAAAATAAATGTTTAAGTCACAAATATCACCAATTATAAAAAAAATGTTAATAAATTTAATAAATTATTTACCATATCATATAATATAAAATCAAAATTATCCATTCTTTAGCCTACATTAGCATTAACATTTAAACCTTTATATTAGAACTACAATTACATATTGTGACATACAAAAAATGTCACTATAAAAATAATATATCTAAATATATATCTATTTGGCATATAACTATACACAATTTTAGTATTGATTTTGAATGAGATTTAACAACATATTTTATGTATTACTATAATTTATACTCATATTTTTTAATAATATATCAATATATATTATATTTATTATGTAAGTAAAAGTAGTTTTTAGTGACATTTATTATGTCACTATAAAATAGCTCACTATACAGTAATTTCCTTTCTAAATATATATCTATTTGGCATATAACTATACACAATTTTAGTATTGATTTTGAATGAGATTTAACAACATATTTTATGTATTACTATAATTTATACTCATATTTTTTAATAATATATCAATATATATTATATTTATTATGTAAGTAAAAGTAGTTTTTAGTGACATTTATTATGTCACTATAAAATAGCTCACTATACAGTAATTTCCTTGTATTGAAGGATATATATATATATATTAAGAAACAATTCAAAAAGTTAATATATTAACTTTGACTTTTTCTTTGAAAAAGAAAAAACAAAGGCAAACAATGAGGGCATTTTTTAATTAAAATTTATATTAAAACAAGATACACCTCACGTATAATTAGAACCAATCACGACCTCTTTGAAGATTTTTAATGGAATTAGAGATTATCTACCAGATTCTTAATATAAGTCCGTATGAATGGATATAAAATACAAAGTAAATCATATTCGATTCCTAATCCTAATTAGTAGAAGCAAAAAAGACTTAACTAAGTTTTGTCACCCTAGTGGAACACCTGATACTTTGTTTTGTTATTTATATAAAGTTAAAATATTTTTTAATCTATATAATTTCACTTACTTTATCTTTTAATCCCTATAATTTAAATTGAATCTTTTAGTCTCTATACTTATCTTTTTCAATCATTTTTAGTTCTTATAGTTTAACATAAATTTTTAGTCCCTATATTTATAATTTTTTAATCTTTTAGTTTTGTTAATTTTTTATAATATTGTCTTTTTTTTTTTATGTTGACATAATAGAAATATTAATTCAACTTTGCGTATTTAATGCCAAATTTATTTTTGTTAGACATATTCTAAATTTGGTTTCTTGACATTATGTCTCTTTTACACCTTCATTTGCAACACCACATGTTTTTTTTCCATTCTTACTGCACCTTTTAAATAAAAACATCACTCAACTATTTCCTTCTTTTTTTTTTTTTCTTTTAACGATAGAGGCACACATTTTAAATAACTACATTTTTTTGTTTTATTTATTTATTTTGTAATGAGAGAATCTAGTGGTACGTACTGTGGATAATGCAATTGTTCTTCGGGAAATTTTGAATGGCATGAAAAAAGCAAAGAAAAAGAAGAGATGTGGTTTTGAAAATTGATTTGGAAAAAGGCCAATGACCCCTTTTTTGTGATTTGCATGGAAAATTTATCCCTAGCAATTAGGAGAAGGCAACGTTGAAGCTACCGTATTTTCTAATTTATTTATTTAAAAGACAAATTAAAAACCATTACAGTACTTTCTTAAAAAGCACTGTTTGCGCATCCAGGGAATCGAACCCTGGTCAGTACCGTGGGAGGGTACTATGATACCACTACACCAGATGCGCTTGTGTGAAGACTGAACATTGTTGCAATTATTTATCGGTGTAAAGAGCTAAACAAATTTTGAATTATACAATAAGTGAAATTATGTCATTCATCATGTTTTATTTCTTTCAGTTGTAGTAATTTCTTGTGTACATTCATTCAAAGAAAAATTCAATATAAATTCATTTATTATAGGTTAGGTTAGTTCGAATTTATCAAGTAATAAATCTCTTCATGCACTATCCAATCTAATTATATTTTATTAATGAAAAAAAATTATCTTACCCAACTCAACACATAAAAATGTAATTGAATTGGTTTGAATAAGTTGAATTATACCCCAAATATAAAAGTCATATTTGATAAAATTTTATTATATTACAACAAAACTACAATTACATATATGTAATGAATCAAATATTTTAATCATACCTTTTAATGTATTCTAACATTTTGGAAATATTTTAATAAATCAAATGTTATAATTCCCTTACATATATATTTCTCTTATAAAATAAGTAATCATATATTAATAAAAAATTTACACAAAAAGTAAGACTATATTATTAAATCATATGTTTATGTGTATGTTAAATTAAAATTTAAAAGAAATAAAAATATAGAGTAAATTACATTAATACTCTAAATTTTTTTATGAAATTACAAAAATACTTCCTACTTTTTCTACTCCTATAATAATCCTCTTTAATTGTTTAAAAAATTACATTAATATCTCTAAAACATTACATTAATTCTCCTAGTTATTTTTAAAACATTACATTATAATATTTTTAGCTCCTTGTAAATGAGGTTACCTCCTAAAAGTTAAAAAAGCAAGAATGTTTGTGAAATTTTATAAAACCTAAAAAGATGTCGATATAATTTATTCTACGATAAATAAGAACCATTGATGGTCTAACTAATTAATCACATTAGCAAGAATAGCAAAAATTAAAATCGTGAATAATATTTTCTATGCATTTTCATTACTTGTATAGGAAACACAATTTTTTCCCTTCAAAAGTAATTACTTAAGGGTTCAATCAATTCTATATTTTATATTTTTTTTGTATTAAAAATTAATATTTGCGCATACCAAGTGAGAGAGAGTGCGGAGTTTTAGTTAGTATTGAACGAAAACTCATAACAGAAAAGCTAACAGTTGAAGAAAAGCTCTTTCTCCTTCCCCTGCGATCTATTACTATTACATCTTAACAGTAATTACACTCTTAAATCTCAATCCTTTGGGATTTGAGCTTTCTCCTCTTCTACCTTTTTTTAACTTTTCCTTTTAATTTTCCTGTGAAATTCCATTTTCTTGCAACCATGATTTCTTCAAGCAAAATCAAATCCGTGGATTTTTACAGGTTAGGATATCCTTATTTTCATATGTATTGATATTTTCTTTTCCTTCTATATTCATGCATTTTGCCTTTTTGGATCATCATGTTATATATATATTTGAATGCATGGCTTGTGTGTTCACTTGCGAATTTTCAATTACAATGTTGATGTTTTCGTTAATTTGATTATAAGAGTGTGATTACCGATTGCTTCAGAAAATAACGTTGTTCCTGATATTCTCTTGTTGGTTATAGTCATCCCTAGGTGAGGTTTACGTAACACGTGACTGTGTGTTTTATTGTAGCTGTAATTCAATTGTTTTGCTGATATTATGAATTTGATTTAAAAGGTTTTTATGTATCGAGAATGATTCGAGAGATATATGCAACATAAAAGAAAAATGATTTATATATTGTCTTTGTGCAAATTTGAAGGTAAAAACATTACTGAATAAAGGATTTAATTTTGAATTTTGTAGGAGGATGAGCACAGTGATCACTAAGTATCGTGTAGCTCATAATCAATGATTTTTTTTTTAGTATTGACTGTAAAGATCATTAAAATGAGTTTTATCTTTCTTAACAATTATATATATATATATATATATATATATGAGATCTA